GCGGTTCTTAGTGGTAAGGCCGTCGCTAAACGGACAAAAGTTACCCCGGGGATAACAGGCTAATACTTCCCAAGAGATCACATCGACGGAAGTGTTTGGCACCTCGATGTCGACTCATCGCATCCTGGTGGTGAAGAAGCTACCAAGGGTTGGGCTGTTCGCCCATTAAAGCGGTACGTGAGTTGGGTTCAGAACGTAGGAACACTGCGTTGATTGATAGTAATATCAGTCTAGTATCGGCTAATATCGGTGAAGCCTTCTTCAGTTACAAACTGGCTGAAATGGTAATACCGAGGGAAGAATAAATTATAATAATGAAAGGTATCTCTGACCAAGAAAAGTCTTATATAGCAGGTTTTTTGGATGGTGATGGGTGTATTAATGCCCAAATAGTTCGCCGTCCGGACTACCAACTGCGATTTCAAATTCGAGTAAGTATAACCTTTTTTCAAAAATCTAATCGTCACTGGTTTCTCCTATGATTAAAAAAGAAATTAGTTTATGGAGCGATCCGGAAACGTCCTGATGGAATTTCGGAGTATGCCATTGTAGGAAATCAAATAGTTAAGATTATTTTGGAAAATTTACAAGGACACTTACAGTTGAAAAGAAAGCAGGCTAAATTGGTTTTAGATATTATTAATAATCTGTCAAAATTACAAAATCCACCGACTTTTATAAAGTTGTGCGGATTGGTTGATAAGATGGTATTTCTCAATGATTCGAAAAAAAGAACCATAACTGCTTTGGTAGTGAGAAATGAATTAGAAAAACATAATTTATTCCCCGTAGAGACTGAGGGAATAAAATCCTGAGATATTTTTTCTGATGAGAAAAAGTATAAAACGCCGACTCCTGCTGATTAAGTAGGATGAAGATATAGTCCATGCCTTATTGAAAAATAAGGGTTTACATGCGTGAGACAGTTTGGTCCCTATCTGTTGTGGGCGTAGGAAATTTGCGAAGATCTGCTCTTAGTACGCAAGGACCAGAGTGGACTGACCACTGGTGTACCAGTTGTCCTGTCAAGGGCACGGCTGGCTAGCCACGTCGGGATTAGATAAGCACTGAAAGCATATAAGTGCGAAACTAACTTCAAGATAAGATTTCCCATCCGTAAGGAGTAAGATACCTTCTAGACTAGGAGGTTGATAGGTGGCAAATGTAAGCATAGCAATATGTTGAGTTAAGCCATACTAATTTATCGAGGACTTATTTTTTTGGTATTTTCAATTTTGCGTTCGGTTTTGAGAGAATTTAATATAATAATATAAAAATAATAATATGGAATATTGAGTAAATTTTAATGAACTTGGGCCGGTTGGCTGAACGATATTTTTGTTGTATCTTGCTTTTTCAATTTGAATGATGATTTGGGCTTATCGGAGAAAAGGCGTGGTAGGTCTTCTACTAGCACTTTTCTTAAATTGGATAGGATGAATAATTGTCTTATGCCTCCCTCGGGATGATAAAAAGCTAGAGAGAGAGAGAGAGAGAGCACATTAATTAGTCTGCTTCTCTCCGGGCAGTTTTTTGTTGGCTAGAAAAATAGATAGAATATTTTATGCGAAGCATTAAAAATATAGACAAGGATATTTTAAGTTAGACAAAGATAAGAAAAATAAAAATATAATTTAAAATTGCACTGGTGATTATAACCAAGTGGTAATACCTGTTCCCATTCCGAATACAGAAGTCAAGCACTTGCGTGACGAAAATACTCTTTACGGGGAAGATAGTTCATTGCCAGTGCATTTTGGAAATAAGGGTCAGCCAGCGAAAGGGGTTGGCTCAATTCCAAACATTTTTTTTGAGAAGTCGTAAGACTAAAAAATAATAATAAACTATAATATTATGTTAGATACAATACTAAAAACTTTATTATCTATTTCGTTATCACTATCAGTAATAAACAAAGGAAACGAGGTAGTTTCTGATATGCCTTATTACTTCAAAAAATTTCAAAGAGATTATTTAAATCTTCAAACAAATGAAGAAGAATTG